AATATATATATATCTTTTGCAGTCACCATTGAAATGTCCTCAATACGATTTTAATTTAAAAATGAATTAGGTTCATGTTTTGAACGAGAAGCGTAGTCTGAAACGACAACAGATGCATATGAAGCTCATTCATAATATTACGACCAGCAGAAGGTTTCCTTTACTAGGAAAATTTTACTCCTTTTGTAAATTTACTGCATTCGTTCATCTTTGGCACCCTAAAAAGAAGAAAAAAACAATGACTTCAGAATAGGAGAAAATAAACAACTTTGCTATAAACAGAACGAAAAATGAATAAAATGTCTAACAAAATGCAGGCTATAAATTTCATAGTGCACAAAAAAGAAGGACTGATTTAAGGAAATTTGTCCATGAACAATTTCAATATTTAGCCAGTTTAATAAAAAAATTCGGGTATCAATCAGAAAAAATCGCCACATTGTTGGATCAAATTTTACGAAAATAGTCTTATTTTCACGAAACAACATTTGGGAGTACTATTGGCCCATAAAATTATTTATTTATTAGCATATCTTCAAGTTTTAAGAAAAAAATTGGGAGATCAAATGGTTTCTACGGCAATAGGTGAAGTAAAATGGGCCGAGTTTTAACTTTGTTTGTATTTGATTAATCTCATCATTAGAACACATTTTATCAATAACAAATTATTAGAATTAGTTTTTTGTAACTTTTAAATATACTTGCATTCTTTAGCTGTGAAAGGTATCGGCATTATCCATTAGAAAAATCGTGAGGCGTAGAACCTTTTACTCAACAATACGGGTTATTACCCATAAATCCATCGGATTAATCGGCTTTCCGGTGGCCACGTCATTTCATTGGCTGTTATATAGACTCTACTAGAGTTGCGAATCTCTTGTATTATATGTCTCTGGTGCGAGCAAGGTGGTTCCACTCGCTCACTTTTTTTTTATGAAGAATGATTTAGAATACTTTTGTTTTGATCGTTGAAATCTAAAAACACTTTTTGCTGTTCATGGACTTATTTTTCCAATCAATATTTATCATGTTTATTCACTAAATTATTGTCATGATTGTCAAATTTCTTGGCAGTAATTTTTTTTTTTGGAAATGCTATTTTGGTCTTTAGTGCATTCAGATATCTTAAATAGTTTGTAATATGTAGATGTATAAGGCTGGGATAGCCCACATGCTCATCCTAGATTATTAAAGTCACAAACTTCACTGTAAACATTTGTCTGCCAAACCATCACTGGGAGCTGACATGTTTGAGATCTTACCCAAGGGAGATAAGTCAATGGAAGAGCATAAAAGATGGACTTCCTGGTTTCAGACAATTAATTGATTTTTGGACTTGCAGTACAAATACGTCTTATTTCATTTTTCAGACAAATTGATTTTACTTGTTCGAATGATTTTATGAGCCATTTTAGTACCAATTGTGTTTATAATTTAGTTAAAATCAAAATCAATATGTGTCAATTTGGGACTAAAATCACCATTCTTCCAAGGCATAAATTAACATATAATAGTCATTTGCCAAGCTTAATATTTTGTTTTGATATAAAACATACCCCATAGTTAAAACCGATATAAGTTGCAAACAAATCCGGAATGGGTCTTGCAAGATAGAAGCGAATGAAAACCAGGTAAATTCATGTATGAAAAACTCCGCCTTTGTGTCCCTGCTCCTGGCAATGTGCCAAATCGTTTAAATTTTCATTTGTATTGTTCATAACATAGTAAAATGGATGAGTTTCAGGTGACATTACTCTAAAAACTCAACTACCCCATTTAATATGCTTCTGGGTCATTCTTAAAAGGCATAAAAAAGTTGGATTTTTCCTTGGTTTCATTATGAATTTACAGAATTATGCAAATGAGGCTGTTACTAAAAATAGATACGATTCTGGGAAAAATTAAGTGGTCAAATTCTTTTATTTTATGTCAAGGATTAAGATGATGTATAAAAATTTGTCAAGTTGTGATTGTCGATTTGGACGATTTTCTGAATATTGCATGGTTTTCTGGCGGATTGGCTCTTAATTGCCATGGCGGTATTTGGATTACTGTCAGCAAATCGCAATTTCAGTTGGCGACCTACATTTTCGCGAATTTGAATTTTGAGATCCAATACATTCGCGAGAAAACATGGTATTAGTAATACGTTTATGGGAAGTTACCTGTAATTTACCTGAAATTTATCTGTTTTCAATCCTGAAAATGTCCCGAATTTTGTAAAAACTTTGTAAACATTTATCATATAGATAAATACACAATGATTCATTCGTTTAACAGATTTAGTACACCAGACGCGAGTTTCGTCGACATCATACTCATCTGTTGCGCTCGATTCAAAACAATTGGAAGGTTAAATCAAATACGTTGAAGAGCATTAAAAACTGAAAATTTTGAAAAGTTTCGCCTCATACGATTTAGGCAATCTATGCATTGGGGGTATAAAAATCTTTAATGTTTCGAATAATTCAGGATCAACATTTAAAATCTTGTAAAGCACAAAAACAAATTATGTCTTATCAATACAAAATTGCTGAATTCTGGGCTAGTTGTTCCACCGGGAAACGAAAAGTCTACCAGCAGTAGCAAAACGTAAATTGTGAAAAATTAAAAATATATATATAAACATATAAGCATTATGTAGCACCTGGTGGAACTCTCAAAGAGGGAATATACATCAAGTTGTGCTTCAGGGCCATACATTTTCAGATAAATTCCTTTAAACGAATTGAAGGAATAGTAGATGACAAAGGTACATTGGCTGTTGCATTTGACTTTTTTTGGAATAAACAAATTATACAACTAAATGGAATCAGATAAATAAGTACATATACGTTAATTATAATTTAGCTTTACATGTAGAGTTGATAAGGTGTTACTCTCCATTTTTGTTCAGTTTTTCCATCATCGATTCAATTATAAGAAAATGATACAACCTACATAAACCATATTTACCTAGATTATTTTTGAAAGAATAGCTACTTATCGTAACCCAAACATAAACACTGTTGTAAAAAATGTCAAACTATCAATCTACAGAAAATAGCATACACAAAGCATTAATGAGACAGCGATTCAAAACAAAAAAACATACATATCTAGAGGCGAATACACGGTTTTCAACAGAATAAAACTTGATAAGAAAACTGAAAACACATATTAGCAGATTTAAAAGCGATACAGTTATGAAGGGTATACGGCATTAGGAAAGAATCCGAACAAAATAATACACAACAATAACAACAAAAAACACAAAAAAACAACAAACATTTTGCAGTCAGATCATATACTACGGTCTTCATCATATTTCCTCATTTTGTCTCATTTACACTGTCTATTCGAATTTTATTAATGTGTTTTTTTTTAATTTAAAAAATTGGTTAGAATAAAACAGACACTATATACAAGAGTTGATCAGGAAGAATCAAAAGTGCCTAGCTTTATCTTTTAAAAAATGAAAACAACACGTTATGAATTTCATGCGTCCGAAGCGCTTTTCTGGAGTTACCTTCATCAGGAACGCTCAAAGCCGAATATTTGAAAGCCAAGATGTATGAGAACCGAAACACTTGAAGAGCTATATGACCGAAAATAATCTCACGGCCCGCTATATAGATGTTGTCCTCTAACTAAATAGTTCAAAGTTTTGTGACTACTGAGTATGTTGAACATATCTATCCCATCGAACTTGAAATAAGATATACCATATATACAGGTAACATAAAACTAAGAAGACGTGGTACGATTGCTAATGAGACAATTATCAACAAGAGACCAAAATGACGCAGATGTAAGCAACTATAGGTCACCGTACGGCCTACAACAATGAGTAAGTCCCTACCGTATAATTATATTACTAGTAAATAGTATATTGTTATATACCGGGATATCATTGTTATAATAACCTTTAAAAGGCCGAGAATGATAAAATGAAAATCAATTCGAACGAGAATAACAAACGGTCAGATTTATGTAAAAACGATAAACGAAAAACAAAAAGTTATAGACCGCGACCAACAGAAACCACTGCTTTACAGACTTAGGACAGGCACATATAAAATGTGCTCGGGTTAAACATGTTTGCGAGCGCTAACACCCCTCTTCCCCATAACATGGGACACTAGTCAGTCTCGTATCTTTAATTACATCTAAAAATTGACAATGATGGTCTGTTGATAACAAAACTTTACGACAAAAGGAATGTTTTCAGCTTTCAATTGTGAACTTTCCATTTCTATGTAGCAACATTCCAACAGTTCTGCATATGTAGTATCAATCCCTAAGTTGATACGTTTCTTCCAGAGCTTGGTTTTCCTATCATGATTTCCTTGACAGAGAGAGACTTAGGCTTACAAAGAAGCTATTGAACCAAAAGTTCCCGTTGATAAAATTAAAGTTATGCCTACGAAAGTTTTACGAACTCCATTACGAGTTGGTTCATCGTTATGGAATATCTGTTTCACAGATGAACACGGATATGTTCAAATTGTCATAACCAAAATCCCATCCTCTTTTTCTTCGATTTCATCATCAACTAATGAGACTCATCCCCGGATTATTACGGGTACCATTAGTGGAGCAGGATAGCTTACCCTTCCGGAACGCCTGAAATCTCCTCCAGTTTTTTGTGGGGTTCGTGTTGCTCAGTCTTTAGTTTTTCTATGTAGTGTTTTGTAAGCTTGTTTGCCTTTTCATCGTCTCTCGTTTTTGCCATGGCGTTGTCAGTTTATCTCTACTTATATTTTGAATGTGAATTTGGGGCCCTATATAGCTTGCTGTTCGGTGTGAGCCAAGGCTCCGTGTTGAAGACCGTACTTTGACTTATAATTGTCAACTTTTTATACATTGTGACTTGGATGGAGAGTTGTCTCATTGACACTCATACCACATCTTCTTATTTATAATTGGTATATATCTACGCCACTTCCCGACGATCTATCACCAACACTAAATTCATCAAAGTTATAAACATTATTAAGAAATGACAACATAAAACTATACAAGATAAATCGTTTTTATAATTGTTTTTAAAATATTAATAAAGATATAAAAATGTTCATACTATACATTCATTTAATTAACAATCAAGGCACACGCAGAATGTCAATAATCGAGAAAAATTGCACCCAAGTACGTTTTGTACTAGAAGTTAATAGAAATACAAAAATGTTTAAAATATACTTGTAATTTCTAGTAACTATCGTCTGTCGAAACGGGTCGTTACACGAAACCACACCATTCTGTTTAATGAAACCTGAGTCCATTTTGTCATGTATCAGTTTCAAATGGGATACACTTTTTGATCTACAGTGACTTGAGGTTTAAGTTTTTTAATTTGTTTCACAGAGCTAAGGTCTTTGATGATTAGATCTTTCAATCCAAAGTCACATTTTGACCAATTTGAGTTTTTAATACCGAATGTTGAATTGCAATACGATTTATCTAACTTGGTGTATAATATGATACGAAGGCGTCATGCTTTGATAAGCAATATGTATACACTTTTGGTTATATACTTGCGTTAAATCAAAATGAAAAATGTAAACATACGTTTCTATTATGTGAATGTTCATGCTTTGATAGGATTGAGTCATTGAACATATTCACAAATCAAATTAATATTGTTTTAACTCCAAAAAATGTTTAAAATAACATTTGCTTTGCTCCATACTCAGTAAAGCCGTCTCATTTAAATTATTGTCATTTTTATGTGAAACAATTCTGATATAATACTTTTTTGTTATTTCATATGGTTCCGAACCAGCTTGAATTTCAATTGCATTTTTCTTATCTACTTTCATTATTTTTATATAGTTCGCAGTTTTACTTTTAAATTAATCATTTCAACAGTTAATAAGATATGTATATATATATATATATATATATATAGTGTTACAATATTGTGTTTTTGTCTTATTTAATTATTATACGATATATATTTTATAATTTGACAAATTGTTTATAACAATGTAGACAAATAGCTGACACTCTAATACAATAAATTATTCTCATAATCAAAATATTATTATTTTGTAATACAATATATAACCGAACACATTAAATATAAATAATGTAAGCAAAATTGAAACCTGAAGTAAATAGAAACATAAGATTGAACATACTATTATTATCTTTTAACATGGCTGTATGTCTGCTTTTGTTTTCAAGACAAAGAGGTAAATAATCCAGTAAAACAAATTAAATAATACAAAAAGTAACGGAAACATAAATCGTGATATTCTGTCCACGTTCCGAGCTTTTTCTCTATTTGCCATATTCTGAAAACATATGTTGAACCTGCATCCGGTTCGATAATCATTCTAAAAATATAAAATTATATACATATCCAGACATTATTAAAGATTATAGTATTGCAAATGACGATTGATATGAGAGTCGGGATTAAACAACTATCACTGATTAAGAATGTAAGTCAAGAATGGTATCAGTTTTAGAAAAACAATTCTATAACGAGAATTCCAATTTTATGTAGATTTTCAAAATGAATAGAAAGAGAAGTAGGACAACAATGAGACAGAAACCATAAAGACACCTGGAATGAAACATACGGTCTTCAACAATGGACATGTTTCCACACCATTAGTTCACCTTCATATGTATGTTTTGATCAAAAAGAGAACTTTTTTTAAACGATAAAAGCTACATGCATTTAATGCAGCTGTAAACATTTTCTGCCATCAATTTATTTTTATGTTACAGTTCAAGTTACCTTTGACGGGAAACTTTTCCTTGTACTTGGTGTATTATCATGATCACCGTTGTCTACCACAGATGTTTGCCTTCGCAGTTGCACTCTCGACAAAACATTTACATAAGCAAACTCTATCAATGCTGCAAACACAAAGAACATACAGGAGACCATCCAAACGTCTATTGCTTTGAAATATGAGACTTTTGGTAATCCCGTATTCTGTGTCGTCATGGTGAGGACTGTAAGTAGTCCCAGTGATATCCTTGCAGGGGTAGCATCAATGCTTATCCAGAATGAAACCCACGACAGGATGACAATAAGAGTTGTTGGTATATAGGTCTGAATCAGATAGTAGTCGTATAAACGATCTAGTTTGATGTTCATTTGGACACATGAAAACTTTACTGAAAAAGAATACTAAAATTGAATGTAACTACAATTTAATCTGTTGAAGGCCTGTCATTTTTTTAATAGGCAATTATTTCAAAGTTTGAAAATATGATCCAATAAATTCAAATTTTACTCTTTATTTGAAATAATATATCATTGTTAATTTCTGTAGGCTTTACAATTGCTATTGTTTGACTCCTATGTATTGTTATATTATCATCATTTATGATTTTATCGGTTTGTAAGTTGCCATGGCCACCAGGACGGGTGACTCTAGTGGAGCAAGACTTGCATACCATCCCAAACCACACGAGCTCTAGTCAGAACGTTTTTATAAAGTTAGTCATGTTGTTCGTTAAGGTCAATCTATTATTTCCTTAAAAGTTGTTTATGGATCCTTTTGTTTATGTTGTTTTCAGTCTTTCTTCAACTATGTTTCCCCTTGGTATATCCTTTTGTATAATTAGAACGTTTACACCTTTTTATTAAAAGCACATTTAATATTCCATGGATATTCAAAGATGGTTTACCTCATTTAATAATTTTATGGTATACTGTACTCTAGATCTTCAAATTATGAGAATGGCGACCTATTAGTTCGACTACTGATGATGTGACGAGAACCGAGTTGTTTTTCTTTGTAAACTAAGCATACTATTATGATAATAATGTTTTATGCCAAAAAGATAAAGCTTAACCAGTAAGCACCTTTTTTTATCATTTCAATATGTTCATTTTCCTCTCTGTTAAGATTTAAATATGATTTTACCCTGCTTTTCAAATTAAACGCGTTTACGACATATAGTCTAAATGAGTAAACGGTCATGTTTGTGCGCACGTAAAACTAGTTTAACCTATCCACATGTCCCGCATGTACCCAGTTATGTTATCTGGAATCTTTATATGTTTGTCTATTTTAAGGTCTATTGTCTTGGTGGAATCTATTTTATGTGGTGGGTATGCATAGTCTGTTGTACTGTCAAATATTTTCGGTAATTCCTGTTATCTTTACTCTTCATTAGCTATAGTTTTTTATGTTCATATAAACAAAGTTTATCAAATATCTCTAACAAGTTGCTTACGTTTAGTTTCGATAAATAAAATTGATGGCTTAAAATATTAGTTTGTTAAGAATACACCCATATATCATATGTGTTTAACATGTGGGCTTGCCCGGATTTATTTTTAAATAAAAAGCCCTGAAATACACGAAAGATATATAAAATATAACATTTCGGTTGAAATCTTACATCCTGCATATACTTTATCACACTTAATTGTTTTTTCACAGCCAAGACTGAACTGAGACAAAATGATGTCGTCTTTTTCTTCTACTGGTTCCTTATACCATTGCAAATCTAGTGTCTCTGAAGTATACCCATCTGTTATAAGAATATAAGATTTTAAGTACAAAAAATATCATTTATGAAAACAAAAACAAGCCGACATTATCCAAAAATTTACTGATAAGAAATGCATGTTAAGTTTTAGATGATTGTTGAATTTAGCAAATGCCATTCTAATACTTTAAAGCAAATGCCAAATTAAAAAAAACATCACTAAAAAGCGTTGCATTTAAATATAAGTGATTTCCTGGTATATCACTGTAGGTTTGATCTCATGTACATATGAATAAAATAATACTTTGTAAAAAAGTGTGAAAAATCAGGGATGTGAAGAAAGAGGTATACCAGTCTTAAAGAGCTTTCCCTATATAACGATTTCAAATAGTGATCTATTCCACATAAAAACAGTAAGAAGAGCACAAAACAAAAGAAGGGCAGTCTTACACAGTGTTTTCTATTTGGTTGCCGTCTCGTATTTATATCAACACAGCGACTAAAAATACGGATTTTTTATATGATGAATTAAGTTTTCTGAATGTGGTCAGATATTAATTAAAAAGGCGACATATGATTTACCAAGACATATTGACCTATAGTAACTGTAAGTAATAAGATTGCCATCTTTCATCAACTAAAAAATCACTCCATTTACCTGCTTTGTCTTAGTACCATTGGGGACACAGACCAGTTATATATTACAAAGCTATGTAAAGTTGAAAGAAAAACAATCCATTTGGTGTCTTGAATATAAATAAAGAAATCTTTACCTTAAGCAAAACATTATGACCAAATAATCATTGGATATGTCCCATGCTTGTGTTTCAATAGCATGAACACGTTGAATGTCCCTTATAGGGTTGCATTTTGACAGATTAATTTGTCAGACATTTCAATGACAGTCTCAATACTATATTTTCATAACTGAAAAGCATTCTTCTAAATGGCCAATATTTGATGTAAATAGTTATCGAGTTTTTAAATAGGTATATTCATATAGCAAATAACAAACCTTAGATATCAAATTTAAAGAAGACCTTTTTGTTGAATAAACTGAATGTGATTTTTTCTTTGAAATACTGGTTATTTTAAGCATTAATATCAAGTTATGTTATAATCAGTTCAATTATACAGGGAAAATTTGTGTAATGTGAGACGACATCATATAGCGATTTGAGTAAAATGTCTTAAAAGAAACCAAATCAAGCCGCATCATGATAAAATGTAGTGTAGACCAATAAATAATCCAAATATTCATCTCATCTGCAAAAAAACAGTTGAATATGATTCAAAACTATAATGCACCTCTTTGTCTTCATTATAAGGTCTTTTGTGGACTAGTTAAACCTCTCATTTCCTTAAAATTAAAATGTTTTAGGCTAATAAATTAAAATTTTGGGGTAAATATCACATTTTTATGTATGAAATGTGATAATAAATGAATAATAGTGTCCAAGCTGAATCAACTATCCTTATTAAAGTTTACTGACTCCATGGAGGTTTCCATAAGTCCTTACGTAAAACTTAAGTTTATGCAGCGTTCTAGAGAGGGACACATGATGGTTCCCTTTTAGTGAATAACTTGTTATAACTGCTTTTACCTCACATTCGAGGAAATGAGGACGGGATTGTGGTTACAACAAATGGAACATATTCGTCGTCATGTGTGAAACACATATTCCATAAAGGTCAACTAACTAGTGATGTGTCAGTAAAATGTTTGAAGGGATGATTTCAACTTCACCACTTGGAACTCTTGGTTCCTTACCTTCCTTGTAAACAGAAACCATCTATCAAAGAAATCATGATAAAAACGCACGCTATGGAATATCGTATCAACTGGGTGTTATATACTCCCTACATAGGTACTGTTGGAATGTTGCTGCGTAGAAATGTTAAAATCACAATTGGGTCTTCTGTCGTAAAGTTTTGTTTTCAACCAACCTTCTTTGTCAATTTCTAGATGTAAGTCAAGATATGAGGCAGATCTAACTGTATCTGTTGTATCCTTTATTTCAACATTACCAAACGTTTATTGAGTTATTTAGTGGGAGGACATCATTTGTATAGCGGAACGATATTACTAGCTTCTTTTAATTCTTCCTAAGAAGCTCCTGTGTGAAGTCAGCTCCATAGGAATAAAGGAACAAGCTAGCAAGAAGAGGAGCCCAATTGGTTCCAATGGCACCTCGTTTGTAGTTTAATATTTAACGCAATGGAATTTTCAAGAAAGAAATGTCAAAGTGAAAAATGAAAGTTGGTAGTAAAAATATTAATTTGCAACTAACAAATGTCAACTTGGAACTTAGAAAAGTCAAGTCTGAACTCAGAAATGAAAAGTTGGAACTAAGAAATTGCAAGTCAGAAATGACTAATGTCAAGTTGAAATTAAAAAAAAAAATGTCCGTTTCAATCTTTCGAAGGAGTTTGATCGATTGCAACGAGCAAAGACATTCTAAAGAGATTTCTTCATAAAAAAAAGATTCTGAAACAAATATTTTTTCAAGAGTAAGTTTAGTTGCACAAACAATTGCAATTATGATGATATGGCTATATACTTACAACTTTCAATTGTTAAAGGACACATTTGATGGTCCAGAGGATACCTCAACAGATTTACATCACAAGAAAAAGTTCCAGAAATTCTGCAAAACAATATATTTAAATTGGAAATTACCGTCAGTATCTTGAAAAGAATATTGATAATCGTCAATAAAAACTTTCTCTTTCTGTCTGTATGTTTATCTGTTCTCGTTTATTCAATTCGAATTTGTTGTCCTATATAATGCATTATGTCATGCTAAATGATATCTTGTTGTGCCCTGTGGTTTTCGTTGACTTTAATATTACCGGAAAAATAGTGCAAGCATTTCTTAAATTCCTTATCAATGATTGATATAACGCCGTATGTGAGTGCGTAAATGCACAAACGTAGCGTTATAGACGACAGCAAACCCGTTTACTAAAACCATTTATTGTGATCGGCATGAACTTGCAGTAATGTATGAGATTTGCTGCTTGTTGAAGACAAGAATGCGACTTTAATATTTAAAAAAAAAGAAATAAAAGTTATGTACCTGTAGGGATTGCCTGCCATAAACTAATTTACCAATCTTTCTTAAAAAACAACGTGATAAATTCAATAGAAATAAAACCTGGCAAGAATCGGTATATACCCAGAAAATTAATAACAGCTACTACATTTACTGACACCCGAAAACTTAACTAGGACAGACATTTATACATGTAATGGAGTCAGCATTTCCCATATATTTTTTAACTGGTGGATGATCTAGAGGTGAATTTAAAACGGTCGATATATTTTTAAAAAAAAATATTTTTTTCTAAATGGCCATTTAGTTAAATGTGTATCAATAAAACAAACAAAAGAGGAGAAAACAAGAAAAAAGAAAAAAAAAAATCGGTATAATACAGTATAGAAAAAAGCTCGTAGTTAATGAAAGCTATTCGAATCGTTTAATTTGATGATCAAGAATGCATACCGTCTGTCATTTATATCTTTATCAAGACTAAACCGACAACATGTGTTTCAATAATAGCAAAGTTATTAAATGAACGAATGAAAAATCGCACTAAAAATGATTGAAGATAGTGTTAAACTACAAAAGTGAATATAAATTGTAATTACATGTATTTGGTATTTGGTGAATATAAAAGATTCATGCACAATTCATTTTACGCCTCTATGTACAGACATCATAACGATCGTCATAACTCAATAGGTACCTTTATCACTCGCGTAAATAAATTTGAAAACACACAGACCGCTTGTACTACCGTCGATACGAATGTGAGGACAAACAACCCGTTAAGAATACCATAAGTCAAAAGGAATAAAATAAATGAACTTGGAGCTTTATCAATAAACAACTAAAAAAAGAACCACAAAACCATCCTATATTAACAGTTTTCGAGGGACCTGAGATATTCGCAAAAATTACAATCATCAGAAACAAAGCATGTACAAATGTATGAAATTACGGCAAATAATAACGGATGACATTTATCTGTCTCATAAGATTACACCGGAGTCAAAAGTCAGATAAAGGCCTTGAATAAAGCACTTAGATATCATTACTGTCTACCTTAAAATAATATTTAAAATAATATTGAAACATTTATGTTAAAGTGTACCTAGTGCTGTAATACATTAATCCATCAGGTTTGATATGCAGTAGTTTATCAGGTGTAGATACTCTGTGAAGGGCTGTACGTTTTTCATTTAGAATAAATAGTTCTGGTACCCAGACTTTATTCATAGATTTTTGACTTAGTTGAAATGTGCCTAGTTTCGGGTCATGTATCAGACGAGAATCATTCCATCTGTGTCGCAGGAAAAAGCTTAACGCAAAATCCTGTAAATAAATCTAAACGTTACTCATCAATAAACATTGATTCCTTTATAATTGAATTTTGCCGAAAAACTTCAATTGTTCATTTACTGAAAAGAATTTATTGAAGAAAATGTCTAATGAATCACACCAAAAGTGGTAACAAGAAGCAAGAATGTGTAAATTAATGTAGAAATTATACAACTGATGGTAAATTAATTAAGCAAACAAATACCTTAGAAGAATCACTGATGGAATCTATACTCAAAATGTAAACTTGAATTTCTACTCTCAATTGGTCATCTGAAATGAGGAGTTGAATAACAAAAAGTATGTGCACATTTTGGAAATTAAAACGCTGTATTCTGCATTCCTGTTTAGTATTCTCTGTTCAACTTTATACGAACCATGTAACTCTTAGAGATAGGAATATCATTTGTTTCAAAATCCCCCTTCTTGATAGAAAAAAAGTACGTAGCATCCTTGTTTTATTAATATTTTTTATTACATATTATTTTTATGATTATTATTCTCTAAAATGTAAACCTTAATATTGTTGACTTTGAAGTTATTAGCATCACTCTTATATGATTAAAAAGTTACATCACAAAAAAACTCCGAGGAAAATTCAAAACGGAAAGTCCCTAATCAAATGGCAAAATCAAAAGCACAAACACATCAAACGAATGGACAACAACTGTCATATTCCTGACTTGGTACAGACATTTTCTTATGTAGAAAATGGTGGATTCAACCTGGTTTTATAGCGCTAAACCTCTCACTTGTATGACAGTCGCATCAAATTCCAGAAGTTTTTTTCCAGAAAAACGTGAACATTTTTAGATAAGTCAAAACTTGCTAGATAGTTACATGTACACAATCAAGTAGATCAGTGGATTGATTTCGTTTTTTATGTATTGATTTTTACGTCATTTCGTCGTTTTTTGTTTTTTGCCATGGTGTTGTCAGTTGTCTTTGACTTATGAGTTTTGAATGTCCCCTTGGTATCTTGCGTCTTTTTCATATGGTCCTTAAGCAAAATTATAATTCTTAGGGTAATGACAATAATGTCCATGATCCTTATAAATATCTGTTGTCCATCAAACTCCTTAAATACTAGTATATAAATGAGAACAATGTCCTTACTGATATTTCAACGGTTTTCATGTAAATCTTATAATACATTATTAGAACCAGGAATACTTAACTAGATTGTGTTCATGACTTATTCAAAAGCTAACAATATGTCGTAGACAAAAGAAATAGTTAATGCGACATGTGTACACTAGCGATGTTATACACAAACAATATCACATGTACACGCATTGTGTGTACATTTTGTCTACTATATGCTTGGTGTAACGTTTTTCATAAAAAAGGGCGTCTTTATAAGGATGGCCGTTAACTAGTATAACAATATATATGCATGTATTAGATTAAATAATGTTACGTCTTCCTTAAATGAACACCAATACTCTTACACAAGTGTAATGGTCTCTACTCGTTACATTTTGTAAGTTAAACCTGTTACAGTTACGCTTTAAGACAGACATAGTCAATACATCATTCGAGTTTATTCGATTGTAGTTTAATTACGATAAGTGACAGAATGATACAAAAAGGACCATAAATTCAATTAATGATGAAAGACGGACAACACTATAGGCAAAACATTACATGTACATGTGTCGTAACAATAAAAGAGAGGCGAAAGATACCAGAGGGACATTCAAACTCATAAATCGAAAATAAACTGACAACGCCAGGGCTAATAACGAAAAAGACAAACAGACAAACAATAGTACACAAAACACAACATAGAAAACTAAAGACTAAACAACACGAACCCCACCAAAACCTGGGGGTGATCTCAGGTGCTCCGGAAGGGTAAGCAGATCCTGCTCCACATGTGGCACCCGTCGTATTGCTCATGTTAGTACAAACCCGGTAAATAGTCTAATTCGGTAGGTCACATTCGTGAAAAGGGAACGGAATTGTAGTTACGACATTAGGAACATATCCGCTACCATCTGTGAAACGGATATTCCATAACGGTCAACCAACTTAATTTATGTCTTTAAAAAAATAATTCAAACGACACTTTATAAATTGCATGCGTCCGTAGCGCGTTTCTGTGTTTCCGTATAAACAGGAACACTCAAAGCCGAATAATTGAAAGCCAAAGATGTATCTGAACCTGTCAAATTTAACTGACTGTTGTTTTATGTTACATCTACGACCTTTCAAAACAAAACATGACCGCGGTCTACATCTGTAAACCACCAGTATATACATATGAAAACCAACCTCAATATTATACAAGTATAATAAAAAAAAAGGTCTGTACAACTATTTGAGTTTGGAATGTAAGATCGGCAGACATGGGTTACAAGTTGCATTTTTGAGTGAGGACGCAAACGAGACAGAAATTTAGGATGAATTCCGAAAGTTGGACGCTGGGTGATTTCAGTCGTGTAACATCAGTGTTCCTGAATTTATTTCTAGATCGATCGAGCTCAAAATTCGTAAGTAAATTTTTTAGGAACATCGGAATGAGAAAGAAATTAAACAAAATAGCGAAAACCATATAATTTTTCACGATAGATTTGAAAAGTTAAACTCAGCTCTCTAGTACAATACCATTTACAAAATGAAAATATACAGTTGATGTTACTAAAAGATAACATCAATATTTTTATAAATGAATAATGAAAAATAATAAAGGCCTTCATGGAAAATACAATTCATCTATTCAAGAGACATCAATATTATCTGTAGATATACATGCTGAGTAGGGTAACAAAATATCAGCAAAGCTCTCAACCAATCATACTGAACTCCTGTGACACTTGATATGTTGTATAGTTTTTTAGCTATCTAAGAGGGGAATTGTCACTTGCAGGTTACGTTTTAAAAACAATGCTGATAAATTTAACATCAAGTTTGATCCTTAGCCATGTTCTCAAAACATAAACAGAATCAATTATACAAGAATGCCATATTAACATTTTGAATAAAGACATCCCTGAAGTATACAGAAAAGTATGACAATTTATTTATTAGGGTTTTCAAGAATATTGATTGATATCTTATAATATTTTTTGGTTTAAATCATATTTATCAATGAAACTTACAAAACAGTAATAAAGGATATGTTGAACTATGCAGCTTTTTGTTGATAAAATTTTTGTATATTTTTTAATATCAACATGATATCGACGATTTAAAGTCAAAATTTTGTTGTAAAAAATTATTAACCAAAAATGATGTGGGGTGTACAGTAAAAAGATTTCATCAAATCAACAAAGAACATATTTGGAGGTAAAAATAAAGTCTTTAATAATCGAATAGTGTATTTACAATAGATAAAACTCCTAGACTAGAAGACCGAAGAGTATCATCCGGACGTAAATCCCGTGAGGACAAAACGCGTTACAGTATAATTGTTAAAAACATTTACATACGCATACCTTACTTTGAACAGAAACATTTATACTGTGGCGAGTTCGAACTACTTTTATAAACAGTAACTCATCCTCAATTTTAATCAAAATATAACATATAAAGTGCAAACACGATTGAATGATATATTCTATTTTCTACACTTTTTTAAACGACGTCATTACAAGTAAAAGACACTAACCGTGATTATAATTTGGCGGAACCGCAGAATTATAATTCCTCAACAGTTCCTTCAATACCAAATCTCTGAAAAAAACAGGTCTACATATATGGTTATCAGAACAAAACATCTGAATTTTACGTTTCAATTACAAATTTTAGTCAAACTTATTGATTTTGACTCAAGAACAAATGCATAACTTCTCCGACATTATCTATTGACTTTCCGCTATATAAAGGATGTTCTCTCACTAAATAATCCAAAGTATGTTGAACGCATCTAACATATCGAACTTGAAATAAAGGATACCACCGATATAGTTAAGTCTTCCTCATATTATGACTTACATATACTAAGAAATTTACAATGAGGGTAAGTTGAGAACAAAACTTTGCGAGAAAATGGATGATTTGGCATCCTAATTTTGAACATTCTATTTCTATGTAGCAACATTCAATCAGTAAAATTGAGAATGGAAACGGGGAATGTGTCAAAGAGACAACAACCCGACCAAAGAGCAGAAAACAGCTCAAGGCCACCAATGGGTCTTCAACACAATCAGTGCCTACATATGGAGTAATCCCAGTTGATACGATATTCCAGACCTTGTGTTTCCTTTCTATCAGGATTTCATTGACAGAGGGTTGTTGCTTGCAAGGAAGCCAATTCAAGTGGTGAAGTTGAAGTCATCCTTTCGAAAGTTTTACGGACGCCATCACGAGTTGGTTGAAGGATATGGAATATCTTTGGCACAGTTGACCACGGATGTATTCCAATTGTCGTATTTACAATCCCGTCCTTTTTTTTCGTCGATTGTGATATCACTGAATGCGACATATCTCCAGATTGTACTTGCATGTGCAGGACGACGGGTGCCACATGTGGAACAGGAACTACAAACCCTCTGGAGCACCCGAGTTTACCACCGGTTTTGGTAAGGTTTATGTTGCTTAATCTTTAGTTTCCTATGTAGTGTTTTGTCTTGTGAATTTGTTCGGTTTTTTTTTTTGCCATGCCGTTGTAAATATAAAAAGAAGATGTGGTATGATTGCCAATGAGACAACTCTCACAAGAGAAGTTTGTCGTCGACTTATTAGTTTTGAATGTTCCCTTGGTATATTTAACCTCTTATTTCTCGCTATAAAAACTTAATCACCAAATATGGCAGAATTATTCTTACGACAAAAAGCGAAACGCAAGTTCATGTATTGTATTTATAATCATTTAACGTAACTATACTCTGCAAAACAAGAAACGCATAATGGATTTTTAAGAATTTTAATACATGTATTTTGAATGGAAATTACTAATAAAGTTATTCACTCAAAACGTGTTTGATTGAGAAGAGGACAGTCAATTCCTTCGAGATTGATGAATAATAGTCGATTTATCATAATTAGAGTTACTTCCGGTGCCATTAAAGTTAGTACCGTGTATGACAACCTCTCGCTGCTAAGACTGGTACGCATATCCTCGTCATGGATGCTATCAATGTTCTGATGTTGTTTAGTGGCATTGCGCGCTGTGTGAGGCCTAGCATTGTCCTGCTGGAATAACTCCCTCTGTCAGTCAATAACATGCATAAGGTGATGTTGGAGAATTTCGTCTCTGTATCTTTAAGCCGTTAAATTACCCGGAACATGTACCAATTCCGTTTTACGGTCATAAGAGATAGCCGTCCACATCATGACACTTCCTACACCGAAGCTGTCTACTTCTTGGACACACGAGGAAGCGAAACGTTCATTCATGCACCGGTAGACACGAGTTCTTCCATCACGTTTCTGAAGCATAAACGGGCCTCATCACTGAAGCAGCTGCAGAATTTCCAGGCCCTCAATCTGCTGCACCATCGGACTTAATGCCGTCTGTGTAACGGCTTCAAAACGGGTCCAAAATACGGCCTTCTGTGTCTAATCCCATGTTGTCGCAGTCGATTGCTAACTGTTTGTTAGCTGATTCTTCTCAATCCTGGTATCCCAACTGCAGTGGCTGTTGCGGCAACGGTTCGATTCCGGATGTAGCGATCTTGTCCAGGAGTCGTTCACTCCTCGGGCGGTCCTTAGTACAGCCAGTCTGCTGTTATCTGTTCCAAAGTCGCGAAATTGTGCTCTGGTTAACATTTTCAGTTCCTGCTACTTCACTTTAGGACACTCCGGCCTGCAGATGACCGATAACGATATTTCAAATAATAGGGTCCAACCTTGTCATGGCAGCGTTTTTACGTTGTGATGAAATAAATATTCAAACTTAGTCCTTATATGCACAAAAGTGTAACAGTTGAGTTGACAACAAAATTGTCGTGAAAAACGTTAGCAAAATTTCGCAGAGAAAAGGGTCATATGCATTTTTGGCGAGTCGCAAATTTCATGTGGCAGAAAGCCAAATCAAAAGAACGGACATTTAGAGTTTAAAACTTACCTGTAAAATTTCGAAGATGCAATTGACCGTTTCATTTTACCTTGTAAAATATACATTTTGCATTTGAAAAAATCATCCCAGCTATGCGTTTCGTCTTTTTTGTTGAACAGTATATAGATCCAACAGTTCCCATTTTGTTTTTATGTGTATGCAATTTGCCCTGTGCATGATAGAAGTTTATAGGCAGAATCTCACAATTGTAAAAGTTCATACTTATGGCAAACAAACAAACACAAAATTAAAACTATAACAAATATAAAGACTTAAGACAGAATACATAAATACCTCTCTGTATTGTTTACTGCCAATGAAGCTCCTATGATCGAGACTAATTCCAGGAAGTACACATAGATAAACATTATTAGCAAATATGTAAACTTAAAAAGACCTGAAAAGCAATAATAACATTTTTTTTTTATTATTTATTTTTAATATTCCCTCGGGACATTTTTCACTGTTTTTGATACTACAGACAACCCTGGCAGTCATATATTCTTTACCAGAGATTCTACAGTGATTTGTATATAAAAGAAACTAGTATCCTCTTCCTTACAAATTAATGTGTTTTTCCCTCTTTCTGTTAACTTTTCTAAAATCTACTTTTTTTACAAATAAACTGTTTCCGATTCTGAATATATCTACAATATTGAAAATCATTTAGGTTGTGAGGCGAGCGAATCTTTTATAATATATTTGTATCGACACAAAAATATTCTTTGTGGTAATTCTTAAACAAATTGTGGGTTACATTTTTCAAGGTTATACACTATAGATACAAATTAATGCCAATAACCGTCTAATAGTTGATGCAAAAACATATGATAATTTTAATTGAAGGGCTATAGAAAAGAAAAAAAGGTGCATTTCGGCATCTGGAATAGGATCCCAGTTACGGCAACCAGTCCGGTACCCACGAATGTAGTTCTTAAAAAAAATATATAACTTTTATTTAAAATGGTGTAGTTTTATTATTACACAAGTTCTGTAACTGAATGTAGATTTATTTGAATGGGTAGGCTTTCTAGCTTGAATTTCTGTAAAAATTTTGATTGATTTAAATGTAATCTGGCGTCGGTACATAGAGTAAATTGCCTAAATTCTAGCCTTTATTCTTCCCCGGAAGTAGACCGACCTACCCTGTTGTCAATCAAAACAAAATTGTGCAACGGAATGCCGGTCATGAGGCACTGAGATTGCACTTAGAAACTTCGAAACAAATGCCTAACGTGAAACAGAAGTCCCAAGGTGGCTATCAAAATTATTTATTGGACAGCACCCCATTTATTTACTATGATTTTCAATGCGTTTCAATGGGGGAAATAACTGGGTCCCCGTTCCTGTCAGAGGGCATATTTTGAACACTTCAATCTGCAATTGTAAGCTTATTTGTGGAGTTACATAGATGAAATTTGGCCAGCAACTTCAAAATTCAATAAGGAAAACAATGGTGTAATTATTTTTAAAATTTGAAATAAACTTTTTAAATTAAATTGAAATTTAAATTTATGAAATTTTTAAAAAGTTTGTTTTTCAATTTAAAGTTTCAAAAGGGGTTACAGTAAGGTCATTTTGATGGTATTATGTATTCATACACTTGTAAGTTAAAATGGAGGGATTTTTCGAAAAATATCAGCAAAGAATATTAGAAAAGAGCCACCTGGCAAGAAATAACAAATGTCTTATATGGGATCAGGGGACAACAAAAGATGGAAAATATGGGCTTATTTCTTTCCAGTATCCTATTTCTGGGACCTGGAAAAAGAAAAAAGCCCATAGATTCAGTTTTATGGTTTTTAATTAGTTTTTGATAAGTTTTAAAAATTAAATAAAACACTTTATGCCATTTTATGTGTCATAAAAGTTTGTGTGGGAATGCGGCTCACATTACTGAAGAGCCGCATCACATAAATAACGACAGAATATTTTGTAAACTCAGAAAATTTTGCCAGGGGCTCTCCAATTTTAAAGATTTGGGCCTGGATTTTTTTTGAAGATATATAATGGGTAGGGCTATAGCTTATATAAACAATTTTAATTGAATGTACAACAATTTTAGACTCCTTTTTAAAGATTTTGGTGGTCCTTAAAAGGACCGTTAATTTTGTCTGTATCTTTTTCAGCAGTAGATGAATGCAGCTATATCTTCCTTGATTTTGGAACTTTTGAAGAACAGCTTCTGGTATGTATATTCTTCTTAGCAGGTATTACTCTACCATATGAATGATCGTCCATTATGCTTTTACAAATGCAGCATCAAGTTTTTGATCAGGTTGCCCTTTTTTATATCTATCTGTACGTTTACTTCGATCCTTTTCTTCCACATGAACCTTAGTCTTCTGTCCGGTGCGTTGTAAATTTTTCTTTTTCCTTTCTGGAGTATTTTGGTTTACTTTGTTCCGTTCACACTCCCTTTACATCTGGTCGAAGTGTTTTAATGAACCTTTTGAGATTTTAAAACCAATACATTCTGCTTTTTGTCACAAGGAATAAGCTGTACCATTATTCAAAGTGTGAATTATTGATGATGCCCTCCCTCCCTTCAAATTTCTAGAAAAGTTCATATTCTTTGGTAAGGAAACACTTAGTGCTCTGTTAACAGATTCACCTCTTTGAGTGTTATGATTAAATTTCATTTTCATTAATGCTTCTTCGCTAAGTTTCATTTTTTAAAAGTTCCTGCATTATTAACTTGTCTTTGTTATCCATATTCAGGTTGGTTAACTTGTTTGGACCCAAGTACATGGATCTCCTATGAGCCACCAACAGTTTGAGTGTCCACCACCACACACGTATGAACTAGTGGGACATTTAGAGCAGTCACAAGTATAACAACGCACAGTAGCATTAAGCATTCAGGCAGATCCAGGATTTCCCTCGACATTTGTTAAACTGTAGGAGGTGCCGTCTTGACTGGTTTTAGCTACAAGTGAGAACTTCTCTGCATCTAGCCTTTTCCATTGTATATTAAATGAACTTAGCTGACTGTTTGAAGACTAGTCTCATGATTTATACCCTTGTTATGGGGTATGCTTCTTTGCATATGTAATTCTTATAAGATTTTTTTTTAATTAAAAAAATAATTATAATTAATTTTTTTTCAGCAGAATTTCTTTTTTAAGTAGATTTCCATATCAAAAATGAATTTATCTACCATGTGTAATTTACAGAATGTAAATATCTTTTAAAATAAAAAAGTTTTGCTGATTTTAAGCATATTTTCTTCATGAATTTATGATTTTATCCGATCAATTTTCTGGTATTTGAGATGTCATAGAAAAGGATCAATAACTCTGTAACTGTTGGATCAAATCTATTGAAACTTTGCACAATAACTACTGAGATGTATATCTTTGTTTTAAAAGTGCAGTTTAAAGTCTGGAAAAAAAATTAAAGTCTGACAGGAATAGGATCCCAGTTACGGCAACCAGTCCGGTACCCACGAATGTAGTTCTTAAAAAAAATATATAACTTTTATTTAAAATGGTGTAGTTTTATTATTACACAAGTTCTGTAACTGAATGTAGATTTATTTGAATGGGTAGGCTTTCTAGCTTGAATTTCTGTAAAAATTTTGATTGATTTAAATGTAATCTGGCGTCGGTACATAGAGTAAATTGCCTAAATTCTAGCCTTTATTCTTCCCCGGAAGTAGACCGACCTACCCTGTTGTCAATCAAAACAAAATTGTGCAACGGAATGCCGGTCATGAGGCACTGAGATTGCACTTAGAAACTTCGAAACAAATGCCTAACGTGAAACAGAAGTCCCAAGGTGGCTATCAAAATTATTTATTGGACAGCACCCCATTTATTTACTATGATTTTCAATGCGTTTCAATGGGGGAAATAACTGGGTCCCCGTTCCATCTGTACAGCATTTCTATGGAACGCCACAGCTGTCTTATGTGGAACTATGATATTACGTTATGTTGTTCTATTATAACTTGATGATATTTTGTCTTTACATAATATGGTTTTGACATTACGTAATGATGCTTTGATATAACTCAATATGGAATAGTCATTACATAATGATATTTCGATATTACATGATATGATTTCGTATTGACTTGATATAGTTTTGTCATTACTTAATATGGTTCTGTCATTGCTCGATGTGGTTTCACCATTATTTAATGTGGTTATGTCATTAGGCAATGTGGTTTTAACATTACTTGATGTGTATGTGACATAACGTAATGTTGTTGTTTCATTACATGATGTGGTTTGTTATTTCGTAATGATGATTTGCTAATTCTTTATATGACTTTAACATTACGTAATGATGTTTCAAAATTTGACGATTTTACACTATATGATGTGTTTGTATCAGTATTTGATGTTGTCATGTCATTCTTTGATGTGGTTATCCCATTACTTCTACGAGGTAAAACCACATGACCATTTTGGAAAAAATATGTTCTATTTTTAGACCGATTTCCATATGTCGTTTGTGTAATGCGCTTTGGATGAGTACCGCTATGCATTAAGTTAAAGTTCAAGTTGTTGTTCATAGTTTTTTTGGTATGAAAAAGGGGAACGACAGACAATATTAAGAAAAAAGTACTAAAACATTTACAGTAATTCGGACATAAGGGGGATATCCCAAAACCACTTGCCGGTTTTTCCTTAGTTCTCAAATGGAAGCAGTATTATAATAAGTTCGTAAATGATTCCAAGGAACACTGCTTTATCTTGGTCTTGAAGAATAACTCCTATACAAGTTTTATAACAATTCATGGAGGTTTACAAATTTATCATGTCAAAATAGTTTAATTCGGTAATATTCAATCCAAAAAAAAAAACTTATATAGAAATAAAAAAAAATGTGGTATGATTGCCAATGAGACAACTCTCAACCACATACCAAATGACGTAGAAGTTAATTTATATGTGTGACTGTATGGTCTTTAAGAATGAGCAAAACTCATACCACATAGTAAGCTTAAAAAGGTCTCGAAATGAAAAATATAAAAAACAATTCAAACTAGAAACCTAACCATCTAAATGATGAAGACGCCGACGATACTACAGACGACGGCATATAGGTTTGTTGTATCTCACTGTCGCTACATTAATGTCGCAGGTACGACACAAATCAAAAGACTTGTACTGTATTTTCAACAAATGAGACACTTTAATTCAACTCGCACTGAAGTTAAAGGAAAATTAGGGGGGACTAAGCGACAAAGCATCAATTCTATAAAATAAGAATTCTCGGATTTTTTTGTTAGCGTGTATGTTCATTTGAACATATGAATATTAAACTTTTATTTTTATTAATTGCAGTTTCTGATATACCACGAACTAATTTAAAAAAAAAAACTTTTTGAAATATCTGTTTCAAAGGTGACAACCGATAGGTTCCAGTTGTCGTAACCACAATCCC